CTCTGGCACAGGATCGGGAACGTTGGAAGCACTGTCTGACGCGTCTGCCTCCGCGACCGGAAAGGAGAAGTGGCGATGGAAGATGAAGACGTTTGTGATTGATTGGCTCATATGCATGTGACACAGAAATATTTCTCAAATCTATATACCTGAGAACGTGTCGATCTTCTGCAACAAATTGCTTCTCGAACGAGTTGATTTCGTTATAACTAATGCAGCCATTAAATTGAGCAACTGTGTGGATTTTCTCCAAACTCTATACGATCGTTTTGATGATTGAACCAGGTAGATCTAGATGACGGCTAGCATTCAATTGACGCTAGGTCCGATTCAAACAAATTTAATCTTCGAGTGTGACAGATTTCTTCTTTTCTGAGGAAGAGTTAATGCTGTCAGCTGCACGTTTTGTTAGCTACTATGGGCAAAGGACCTTCATCAAAACATAGAGTCGCGACCACCGAAGGTAGATAAATAAGTGTGAGAAGGAAGCAGAGACTTTCTGCTGTAAGAGGCAAATTAATGGCATATACTGTCCTCAAATTAGAAGCGTAATCGTCGCTGATGGCACCGTCACGGAGGTAGGCGCTGCACCATACACTCTATATGCTACTAGTGTTCTCGATCATGCATTCGTGAGGAAGGTTACCAGCCTAATGAGTGCAAAATTTTTCTTTTACTTACAACCAACAAAACTAATCTAATCACGGATCTGCTTTGAGGAAAGCTCTGAATGTGAAAAATTCTTAATCGAAACAGGAGACCCAGGATGCAATTAGAAACTGTTGCAACGTTCCAATAGGGCTATCCGAGTTGAAAGCAGCAGATCTGTTGAGAGGGTGTCATGAACTTCAAAACAACTGTAGTTCGATGCTCGCCGTTCAAGAATACACAAAGCAAAAAACTATGATATTTTTAGCCATGTAATGAGAAACAAAGATTTGAGTGTCTGGAAGAGGCAATAACAGAAAACTACACTGATGAGATCGATGAAAAAATCAAGACGATGGGATTAGTGACACCTGGCAACATGCCGAAATGAGCATAATTCATACAATTGAAATGCGAACATCTGGTTGCTAACCCTGACCAATGATGGTGAACCTGGGTAAGAAACGGGCTTCAGTGCGCAGGGTGAAGATTTTGAATCGATACCCAGCACCATAACAAAATACACCGAATAATATCTCAGTAAACGGAAGTTCGACTGCTCCTGATGAGAAATTTCTTTTCCTCCTTAAAGAAAATTTTGGAAACCTCCCAACAATGATATTAGGTCAGACTGCATGGCGGCGACAGAAAATTCGTCCGTAACGTGCATAACCAACAGCTGCGAAATCCGTAAAGCGAGATTCACAAATCGCCGTCCTTCATGTGTGGCTGAAACGTCTACCAGAAACAGTCGAATCCCGGCTTTGTGCTCGTCATCGATGCTGGCATTTTTTACAATTGTAAATGTAATCATCAAACAAGCCATTTGAAAAGACAACTTTTGTAAGACTGCTAAGATAAAGACTATTTTGAAAGAACAAACTGAGAACTGAGAATAGTCGTTAGCTGAGTGCGGCAAACTTCGGTGAATTTTTTGAAAAACATCCAGGGTACAGTTTTATTGTGAATAGAGCGAGTCTGCAGTTCTCAGCGATCGTTCAAACGTGTTTGAGAAGCTTACAAAATGAAGGCAACCAGAAAGAAGACGAAGAACATATAGGCGTAGAAGAAGAGGAAGTACAACTTGAGGAAGTCGTTAGAGTGACGGCAATGGTAGTGAGGATTTGCACAAGCAGCTTATTGCACTCGATAGAATACTCATGACTACATGTACTTATGGCCAACGTTATTAGCCGCTAATTTGCTTGAGCAAAGAATTCATTCCACCTTGCTTCTCTTCAACCCTCCGAGAAATGGACAGCAAGTTAGCAAGTCGTTGAACTGCAGAAAACTGAGAAGTATTGTGTTTTGGTATGATCATGATCTCTTTTGGAGGCGCTTCAGACATGTAATTCGCCTAGACCTATCTGATAGCTGACTATCGATAATAATCAGTACGCAGCGTGACGTAAACTTTATATTTTTAATATTCGTTCCAAACACCAAAACCAGCACGGAAAGTTCCCCGTCTAAGGCACAAACAAACGCTCTGGCACGCTTACCGAAAATGCTTATTCACTCGGTTTGCTTTTTGTCGAGGTCGGTCCTCATTTGTCACCGAAACAATCCAATATTGAGGTCGGGCGCGGTGATCCAAAGAGGTCTTATCCTCACATCTGTCGTGATCTTCGTCGTCATAGTCGGAGTCGACTGCTCGAGTTCTGTTCGGGCCGCCTGGTCATAAAACGTGGATGCAGCAGAACGTGCGGCCTGAAGGCGGCGCTGCTGCAATGGCTTATCGTTCATGAAGCCGTCGGTTTTGTGTGCCTCCGAAATGCGGTGTAATGTACTTACGATTTCAATTTCTTCAGAGGTGAAGACGCAGAAAGCTATTATTCGCCCGGTCGAGTTCATAACAGCAGAGAAACGAGAAACGAACAACGTACCACGAAAGGTATAAGGGCCACGGGCAGTTGTGTGGTCGTTTTTCAGATCTGCTCAGCAACGGGCTGCACCAACGAATGGACGACGGATGCGGCAGTGAGGTCATCCTCTCGCTCGCGGAGGTGTTCCACCGTACTTCTGTGACTTCTGTTGCGCGTAAATAAAAGGGTTACTGTAAAAAGAGGGCAGGGCGCCGATTCGGTCCGGCATCGGTCGGTCTGTGGCAAGCTGTACAGCAAATCGGCCTCTCGGCCTCGGCGAATTGAGTTGTTGCTTCGGTATGATTGCAAGCACCAAGCACCTGGTGCTGCGGCTCAGAGACCGGTTCGCAGACACGCTCAGTCGACACGTACTTCCATAAACCAGCTGCCAGAAGTTTTACTCATGAAGTGACAACGTGTAACTGCGAGTCGCCAGTGTGGGTGATTTCGTCATGTGATCCAACCGATGAGCTTTGTGGTACTGCCACAGCGCCTGGACGGTTTCCAGCTGATAGTTGCATTCATCAGGCTTGAGGACGCTTTCATGTTCATCCTCCTAGATGGCACTGTCAAACATTTCTTTTTGCCGTTTGAATCAATTAACACCTGCAGAATCGAAGCGTCTACAAACGCCACGGTTGCCCACAGCCTAGTACCGTACCCCCTAGTAATCCGGTTTCCAAACGTAAAAAATCATTCCTCTCTTGCTTCTCTACTCTGAAAGACATGAGCTGACTGACGGACGAACGGGCACGGAACATGAGAAATATACTTTATGAACGATAGCAACAAACAGCGAGGAAATTCATCATTTTCATCGTCTGCACGCTCGAACTGTGAAACATCAAGCCACGTAGTGTTCGCCCGGATCTGGATACTTGCTTCTTCATTCTTGTGAACAGAAGATTCCCATTTTGCAGTTATAATCTGTCAGATTGCCTCGTTATTTTCTTCTGCATATGTTCCGGACATGAAAAGGAGCATAATCATTGACAAAACGAGCTAATCTCTAAGAATCTCCTAGAAATGAACTTCAACTATATTAACGCATCCAGCCGAACTTCACATTTAAAGGTCCTGTTCCGAAAATTTAATCTGCTCAGCAATTGTCATCAGCCAAAACTTTACACTGTCTGTCAGCAATAAGGAACAATAAATTTTGGGACGAAGCAAGGAAGTTCGAGGAAGGAGCTGCAGAGCTACATGCGTTGGAGGTTGGCTTCGTCGCAGTCTATTGAAATTAAACCGGAACATATAGATATTGTTGCCATACGCATTATGAAGTTGATTCTGCTGTCAGGATGAACAAGGTAGAGACGGATTTACTTTAGAAGTGGCATTATTCCTTCTGCGATGCAATATCGGATGACTTAAAGCAGATGTGTTGAAGGTCTGCGAACATCGGACCGGATGCAGCAGGCATCACAAACTAAGGGCGTTTTATTTATGCAGATGATTCAGTGTGATGATGACAACAAGGTCAGACCATTCTAGAGTTTCCCTCTTAAACCATGTCAATGAATCTCCTCAACTTTCAAGCGGTCCATCGAAGACGGAGAAGTGAAGTACGTTGTGAGGATATTAACAGATATCGTTGGCGAGAGGCGATCAGCACCGTGCCAACCGGCCTTACAGGGCTTCCGCATCATTTCCAGATTTTTCGATAGAAAGAGGTTCGTTTTTATTTCTTTCGTTATTACTATTTAAAAATTATTGTTTATTGGTTTAATTACCAAGGGTGATAATCAGAATACTGGGAACGAATGAAAAGATTACGTTGCAGCAGCCACCAAATTGTAAACACTGCTTTCAAAAGAAATGAAGCTGGTAACTGATAGATCAGACCGAATCATAACCATAACTGAAATGACTGTTGATGCAAGTTGTGAACGAGCTTCTGGTATTCTAACCTTTAAAAACGTTGCTCTTTCCT